TTGCCCCCCACAACCACATGAGGCTTTGGGGCCATCTAGACATAAACCATAGCTCCCAGTCTGCTGCTGTTGCCGAATGCACTGTCCCCAAACACCCTGTGCACTCTGGCTTCCTATGGTCTGGACAGTAGGGAGGAGTAATCCTTTTCATTCTCCCTCTTCCCTATCCCACCTGCTATCCCTGTGTCCTCAGGCTCTACGTGTCTCTGTGCTGCTCCTGAGGAGATGGGGTATTGAGAGGGCTTCAGCCCTTGGTTCAGATTCTGGCATAGGCGACCTTGAATGACTTACTTAACCTCTGTGAGCCTCAATTTGCTCCTCTGTGAAGTGGGCTAAAACCACTTACTTTCTAGATTGTTAGGATTAGGACTCTTTGCAGGCAGCCACGCCTGCCTGGTAATTGACAGTCGGGAGTGCTGAGTGCTGACCAGGAGGGCGTGGCTTACACTGTGTTCTGCAGCCCTGCTGGTAAAGGGCCTGGAGGGGACACTGAATCAGTGTTGTCTGTTGTCTGGTTGTGCAGTGGGGGCAGCTGAGGTCACACATCATACTGGGGGTCAAAACCTGTGGGACTGGACCCTGATGGCCCTCTCTCTCATCTGGCCCCAGCAGCACACCCTCTACTCGCCCGCTGCCATCGTGGTAGCTTTCTCTTTCAGGTACCAGCAACACAGGCCGCTCATTTCCTGACTTCTCCGTTCTAGGCTCAGCCAGGAAGAGGCAGGTCCAGGTCCCTGTTCCCCAGAGTTCCTATTTCTGAGCTGTAGAGGAGCCCAGCAAGTCCCTGCTGTCATAGGCAGGAGCTTCCAGCTCCCGGTTCCTCCCTGCGCCTTGCCAGCACAGTGCTGGTCACCACTGAGTGCACAGTGTGGGTCCTGGCAGTGTAAGCGTAGGGGACCCTGGCTCTGCTCCTGCTGCCTGTGGTCCTGTGGTCACCCTGTGTGTTCCCACCTTCCTGTGGTCAGTGTTCTGCTTCTGCCACCTGTAGTACTCATAGTCCCCTCCTATTCCGCAGGTGGCAGTAGTCCCTGAAGGATCTTCTTTTCATCCTGTGGCAGCTCTGGCCTCTGCTTGCCCAGGATATGGCAGGAGGGGCCATGGGCAGTGCCCTGCCCCAGCATGGGTGGTGGCAGGGCCAGGTCCCTGCACTGAGTGAGGAGGGTGAAGGATGGGTTGGAAGCAGGGAGGTGGCCTTGGGTCAGGCCATGGAGGGTCAGGGTCAAGGTCAGGGTCAGGGTAGGAGCCCTGCCTGGCTCAGGTGTGCTGGCAGCAGGGGACAGGGACAAGGCTCAGTCAGGAAAGCTGAGAGACCTAAGGTGAAGAGGGCAGTGAGGATGGAGGGTCAAGGATGGTGGGAAAAAGTCCCTTCATAAGCTGTGTGTTTTAAATTTAAAATCATGAAGCTACGTCATGACAATGGTGTTGGGGGAACAAACTAGAAGAAACTCAGTTCGAATGATTTACAATACATTTATATTTTTTTCTTCTAATTATAAAAGTGTTATGCATTTGTAAACACTTCAAGCAATAGAGACCTGAAAGTTTCAGAAAGTGAAAGTCTTTCAAGATGAGGGTGGGGGGAGCCCAGGATGTCCACTGTCCCTTAGTCTTTAATGTCCCTTGATCATTAATAAAACAGGTTTAGCAGTTTTTTAGGGTAATGCTAGTGAGGCTACTGCTAAAAGGTTGTTAAAGGGTCGTTACCTGGTGGAAGGGGTAGGGTAGTGAGAGCTTAGGGGGGGAGGACGAGAGTCGGCCTCTCCCTGCAGAGCTGCATGCTCTGGGGTGGAGTTCCTGGAGGAAGAGGCACCTTGTTCTGCTTTGCTTACAGGTCCCACCTCACTTGGAGATGCTTCTTTTTTCAGAGAAGGTTGCTGGTGAGGAGTTGGTGGGTTTGGCATGGGGTGGGGCGGGGTGGGGTGGATTTGGCCTTGGGTATGGCAGGAGGGTCCTGCATGGCTGATACGTTGTGAGGTTGTCATGGGGCTTGGGCTAGCTAACGGGACCTCAAATGCTACAAGCCCTGGACTAAGAGTCACCCTGGGTAGGACTGGCCACACCCTTCGGACCAGGGACAGGAAGTGCCTGCCCTTGCAGAGGAGGCATGAACAGAGGACGAGCAAGCCTGGCCTCTGGGGCACATGTGGTGACGCGTCATGGTCATCTGGGTGCCAGCTGTGAGGCAGGGACTGAAGTCTTCACTTTGTGGAGGATGTGATGTGCCTCACTGAGGGCTCCAGATAAGAAGGGGTAGAGCTAGGTCTGGACCATAGTTTAGTCTCGCGTCCTGGGTGGGGGCAGTGGGCTCACGGGCTTCATGATAGGTCCCCAGCTTCCCACTGGGTAGCGAGGCAGCTGCTTTCACCCAGGCCCAGGCTACTCTCTTCACGCCCCAGTACGCCAGGGCCTTGGGAAGACTCGCCACAGCACAGATATGGGGCAGGGTACTTACAGAGCCGGGAGAATGTACAGGGCAGGAACATGGGACTGGGGGGCATCAGGGCAGGAGACCCCCCAGTGCCTTTTTGGGATCTGTACATGGCAGGAGACAGAACCTTGGTTTCTTGGCCCAACCAGATGCTCACCTCAAGGAGCACAGAGCCAAGGGAGCTGGCCTGTGTGGGGAGTGTGGGGGGTCACTTCTTCATCCTCAGCCATGGAGCCCCACCCCCACCTAGTTCCTCATACTGCAGGAAGTGTCTTCAAGGCTTCGTCCTCCTGCACTAGTTAGCCTAGGCTAGCCAAGTCCTGTGAGCGTGAGGAAGGCAGCGGATGCCTGTGAGGGTGACCCTGCTTGTAGGTATCACCTGGGTGGCCGGGCCTGGGACCAGTTGGGGGTATGGGGCATGTCAAGGTTCTGGGGACATCTGGGTATTGGCAGGGACATGAGGCCTGAAGGGTGTGTGTGTGTGTGTGTGTGTGTGTGTGTGTGTGTGTGTGATTGGCTTTCTTGTATGGCTCTCAAGGGAGTGGGAGGAAGGTATGACCCTGGGAGGTAGGTGGCCCTTGAGGTAGTGTGTGGGGGGTGCCACTGTGGTACCCAGGAGGCTGTGTATGTTCTCGGTTCTGGGTGGTGAGCTCTGAGGGGTTTCCAGGGGTCTGGATGCTAGGATCCCTGTCCATCCTACCTATGGTGGAAAACCAACTCAGGTAGTGGGTGGGCTGTACAGGGGGGAGGAGGAGGAGGAGGAAGAGGAGGAGGAGGAGGAGGAGAAGGAGAAGTGGAAAGCCTCAGGCCACCTTCCTCCTCTCTGATCCCACCAGGGCTAGGTCTTTCCTTGAACCCAGAGTGAGTTCTATTCAGAGGGGACACCAGGAGTTGTCCTGGTGAAGAGGACTCCTGAGCTCGGTGTGGAAGGAGTTCTGAGCCCCAAAACTAGTGTGGGGGCTGAGTTACTCGTGCCAATCATGATGCAAAGGAGGCTTCGCAGGCCATAATAAGGGGCACACCCATGTCAGCAAGCAGGCTGTACCCGTGCTGGGGAGTGGCGCGCCCACTTTGGATACCCTTTGTTCCCACCCCACGGATCTTTCCCAGCTCCAGATGAGCAGTCTTGTGCTCTGGGCCTTGAAAGTTCAGTCCTGTCCTTCCTATCTGCACTTGGCAGCCTCCTGCTGGCCCTTTGAGGCCAAGGCCCGGAGCTCTCTGGACGCCTCCCTGACTTTGGTAGACAGAGGCAGCTGTGTCCCCATGCCCCTGCAGATGACTGGTAAGTTTCACATGCATGAACGGTAAAATCCCAGGCCCAGGGATAGTTATGAGTGAGATGAAAGCGGCCATCTGCAGGGCTGAGCACACAGGGTCACTTAAGGCTTTGGGCTCTACTGTACAGGGCAGTGGGGACAAGACATACGGACTCTTAGAATTCTAGGCATTATTGGGGATTGGATGGAGGAGAAGCCCTGTCCACTGGGCAGCAGAAGCAGCAGAAGCTGTGCTGGCCTGGTGGCTGAACTGCAGAGGCCTTTCTGATGTGAAGCTGGCCGGGGTGGTTACTTACTCATTGTCAGCTGACAGTTTGGGGGCCCCCAGATGCCAGGCCAGTGCCCGGAAGTGACATGGAGGGAGTTGGGGATGGGGCCAGCCCAGCCTGGTAGGGACTTGGGGTTGTCACTGAGAATTTGGGCAAGTCACTTCCTCCCTGTGGGTGTTTGTTTCTGTATTCGTAAGCCTCAGTGTCAGAGCTGGACGAGGTTGAACGAGAGCGAGGAGCCCATGGCAGGGGCCCCACCGGGCTTTGAGCAGAGGTGGGATCTTGGGAGAAACAGTGGTAGGTGGTGTGTGCAAACTGACTGGGTTTTGGGGTGCAGAAGGAGAACCCCAACTACGGCTGGGCTGTTGCAACAGGATGACACCCACCAGGTCCCTGCTGCCTGTGGGGTGAGGACTCAGTGAGGGCTTCTACCTTCAGGCCAGGACCAGGATCAGGGTGGAGCAGTGGGGCTCTCGCTTGGGCTTAGGGGTACCGTAAAGCTCAGTGATCAAAGGGTACAGTATTTTAATGCCATTGTGAAAAATGAAAGTTAACACAGAAAATCCACGATGAACAAAATGTAAAGCATTGCAAGTTTCAATGAGAACACCATGCGGCTGTCTTGAGCTTGGCCTTTGCAAGGCGCTCGCTGCTCCAGATTTTTGTCAAGGAGCTGCGTCCTCCAGGAGGCCACCCCTGACCTCTGAGGTCCCCTGGGCTGTATTCACCGACCCATGGTGTCTGATCCCCTCAGCCCAAGGTCCCTGGAGACATCTGGTTCATGCTTCCAGCTCCTTGAGCAGGGCTGGTCCCAAGGGGCGGCTCTGTCCATGGCCAGTGCCCTTTGAGCGCAGGAATAGGAACTTGAGAGTGGCTGACAGGGGCCCTGCTCTTCTCAGGGAGGGGAGCAGCTTCCTGTTTCCCACCATCATCACTGCACTTGAGCGACGCCCAGACCCCGTGCCCAGCCGGCAGCATGTGCTCCTCGGGTTTGCTGTCCCCTTTGAGAGGGAGCAAGCCGAGTGGTTAGGAGTCAGAGCTGTGCTGCCAACAGGAGTACAGTACAAGCCACAAATTTGCTAGTAGCACGTTAAAAGCAACAGGTACAACCAGATGTGGTGGCGCATGCCCTGAAACCCAGAGCCTGGGAAGCTGGTAATCTCAGGACTTGCAAAGGCGAGGCAGGAGGATGACTTTGAGTTCTGGGCCAGACTGAACTATACGGTGAGAAAAAAAGAAAAAAGGAAACAGCCACAGGGGCTGGAGGCAGAGCTCAGTGGTCAAGCACTTGGCTCATTTGTGCGAAGAAGGTCCTATGTTCTGCTCCTCCCACAGAAGAGAAAAGAAACAGGTGCAATTAGTTTCAATATTATTTTAAACCTAAATATCTACAATATTATTCCTAGTGTACGTAGTAGAAAAAAAATTAAGGTTAAAAATTTCTTTGATGTCAAGTTTTTATAAAGTCCAGTGTTTAAAAAGTCCACGCACCTCACTTCCTGGGTTCTGTTTCAAGTGTGCATGTAGGTACTGTTGGCTGCTGTATTGGGTAGGGCAGGTCTAGATTATACCCAAACTGTTTCTGCCCAGCTGTGTGACTTCGGGCAAGTTACTGAACCTCCCTGTGCTTTAGTTGCATCATCTTAAAAGTGATGTACCTTAAACATTGTGACGATTAAATGAGTTAATGTGCTTAGATACCTGGTATGACACTGTTGTCACCTCTTGTCATTTGAGTAGTGTGGCCATTGTTGCTAATACCTTCAAAGTATGAGTTACTTAAAAAAATTTGTTTTTAAAATACTGTAAAAACATAAACCTCTTCTAACCCTACTCTAAACAGTGATCATTGTGGAAATGACTTCAGTGAACTGTAAAAGGATTGAATGCCCTGTGAAAGCCATTTTGTGCAGCTGTTTTTGGGTTAATCTTACCTGGGTACTGATTTGTGCCACTGCTTGGGCCTGCCAGCAGTAGGGGCTGCAGCTTGCCCTGGGGGTTGCCTGTTCTTTCTTCTCCCCTGGAAACCCCATGTTTTGTCCGTGTTCTTCTACCTAACAGGTTCAGGGGCAGGGCCGCTGGAGTCTCCTGCCCTTGCCTCAGTTGCTTCCCTCTACCTGTAAGCTATACCCTGGCCCTCAGGCTTCCTGGGTGGTCCTGGGTGCCTGGGTCCCTCGGCATTGCCCACCTCTCCCGACCATCACTGTGTTGGGAAAGCCCTCCTCAGCGGAGGAGCTGCCTCTGTGCCTCCAGCCCTGTCCCACTGGTCCCCCAGCCCCCAGCCTCTGGTCCTGGGGGGGGCCCGCAGGGGGTGTCCCAGTGCCCTGGTCCCCTGGCAGGCCTGTCCACCTCTTCCTCTAACTCCATCCAATTCAGGATCCGTGGACCCTTCTTTCTCCCTCCTCTTCTGCTTTCCCCACCTCTTCCCATCTCTGTTGTCTTCCCCTTTCTTTTCTTTTACCGATCCTTCTCTCTCTCCCCTTTTCTTCTGTGCTGTCCCTGCTGACCTCCCAGCTGCTCGAAGTGGCCTTACCTTTACGGACTCTCCTCATCTCTGACCTGCAGCTTTGGCCTCAGCCATGAAGAGGAGTCCGGAGTAGCTGCAGCCTCTGGGAGGAGCAGGTGCCCTGGGCAGCCCAGCCGGTGAGTGGGGAGCAGGGGGAAGGGGTCAAGGGGGGCAGGGGTGCTGTGCAGCAGGCTGAGCTCCAGAGAATGGAGGTTGTGGGCAGAGGGTGAGGTCCTCCCATGCCAGGGCTCTGAGGGAGAGGGCAGGTAGGGCTGGCAGGCTGGGTTTAGGGTGTTAGCCATCAGACCCCTTCTTTCCTGGTGGGTTTTCATCTATCTCATTTCCAGGCTCTATCTATGACCATTACTGTCACTTATAAATTTTATTTAGTTAGTTGTATTTCAGAAAAAATTAAAAAATTACAAAAAGACATAAAAAGGATATAGTGTGTCTCTATTGCTTGTCTCCCCAACTGCCAAATCTCCACCCCAAATGTAACATCCTATATATCTATCCAGGGCATTCTTTTTTTTTTTTTTTTAAATTTATTTATTTAATTT